ATATATATATATATAAAGAAATTTATTTTAGGAAAATGGCTTACACACTTATAGAAGCTGGCAAGTCCCAAGTTCTTGGATCAAATGTCAAGCTGGAGGCTTTTCCTGACTCTTGCAGCTGCAGGGGCTGAGAAGCTCAAGGTTGGCAGGCAGTATACTGGCTGTTAACTCCAACGAATAACAAATCCAAGGTCTCCAGGCCAAATGGTGGATTGTTCATTCATGGACAGTTGTAGGCAGCACAACAGAATCCCGATCCACAGAAGAATGTCTCTTTTCCCAGCATGTCCATAAATATACTGGAAGCATGCCACACCCCTAGGGAAACTCCCTTTCAATGGGTTGGCTGCTCAAAACATAATCATCTGATCCCATCATGGGAATAACCACATCACAGCTGCTTAAACCACACAGAATTGTGTCTAGCTAAGTTGACACACAGCTCCAGCTATCACACACACCAACCACCAAAGCCAAAGATGAAGAAATTGAAGATTTTCACTAACTCCTGCAATCTGAAATTGACTGAACGAACATGCAGTCAGGATGTGTTAATTAGCATTGGTGACTGGAATGCAAAAGTTGGACACAAAGAAGAATCACTTGTAGTTGGAAAATATGGACTTGGTTATAAAAATTTTGCTGGAGATCGCATGATAGAATTTTGCAAGACCAATGACTTACTCATTGCAAATACTTTTTTTCCACAACACAAATGGTGGCTATACACGTGGACTTCGCCAGACAGCATACACAGGTATCAGATTGACTACATCTGTGGCAAGAGGCAAGGCCAGGAGCTGACTGTGGAACAGACCATCAACTGCTCATATGCAAGTTCAAATTGGAGCTGAAGACAATTAAAAGATGTCCACAAGAGCCAATATATGACCTTGATCATATGTCTTCTGAATTTAGAGACCATCTAAAGAATAGATTTGATGCACTGAACACCAGTGACCAAAAACCAGAATTATGGGATGACATCAAGAACATGAAAAAAGCAAGAGGTCATTAAAATGACAGGAAAGGAAGAAAAGACCAAAATGGATGTCAGAAGAGGCTCCAGAACTTGCCCTTGAACTGAGAATAGCTAAAGTGGGTGGAAGAATTGACAGGAAAAAGAGCTGAACAGAAGATTTCAAAGAGCAGCTTGAGTAGACAAAGTCAACTGTTATAATGAAATGTGCAAAGACCTGGAGTTGGAAAACCAGAAGGGAAGAACACACTCAGCATTTCTCAAGCTGAAAGAACTGAGGAAAAAAATTTAAGCCTTAAATTGCAGTATTGAAAGATTCCATGGGCAATATTTTGAATGATGCAGGAAACATCAAAATAAGATGGATGGAATACACAGCCTCACTGTACCAAAAAGAATTGATAGATGATCATCCATTTCAGGAGGTGGCATATGATCAAGAACCAATGATATTGAAGGAAGAA